AGGCCTACTTAGAAGGACCACTAGTTTGTTTTAGGCATATATATATGCAACATTTTAGCTTAACTGCTGATAGGTCTAGTGTTTTATGTTTTTGATTTGAAACCGGAGATCTCTTGAAACCCGGGACTGAAATAAGCATATCTGTATCGTTTTTTCAACTGAGCTATTTCGCTTACGGTGTGTCCTTCCTCCTTGATCGTATTTCAAATTATACGATATAAACAGTAACTGAGCAGACTAAACAATCGTTTTTATTATTGTTATATCCGAAGCAATCATAACGAAGTATCACGCACATTTTCACTATATATATATATATATATATATATATATATATATATATATACATACATTTATCGAAAGCATCTGCTCACAGCACAGAGTTTGCACGAAATCGTCAAGGCCAACTGAATTTGGCCTGTTCTGCACCACTACATAAATAATAGTTTAAGCATGTACTTCTTATTAAACATGCTTTTAAATTACAATATGTGAGAGGCGTGTGGATAATACACACCTTTTTGAGGATATGGTCATGGTAAATATGAGCATGTGGCCATCGTAGTTCAAATTTGCACACCGAAAATTAATTATCGTTACACGCTGTTAATTATACCGTTACGCGGATGTGTTGAAGGAAAGCCTAAGTGAGGCCAGCAGGGTCATATAAATACTTCAGGCATTTTTCTCGAGAAGCTTGTTCAAGCTGTCAGGAAGATATTTCGATTTATGTACGTATATATATTTGTTAGTTTAGCCACTTATGAGATACGGCGAGCGTGAGCTAGCAAACGTATTAAAGCACTAATTGATTTAGTAGCATGGTTTTATAGCACTTTAGTACTATAAATGATCGATTTGACAAGGTGCTAGCTATTTGTTTAATACATGCCGGATTACTCATCATGAATCACCACAAATTACCGCCATTTCTGAGCGCGTAGCATGACTATTACTGCACAAGATAATATTTGAATTTTTACATTATTGCGTTAATGATATAGGTGTTTAACGTTAAAGATGTAACGTTTAGCTTAACGGCTCAGAAACAAAGGTAGCATAATTTGCTAGGAATTTCTGATTGATTAATACATTATTTGATAAATAAGTGTGAATGTTTGCGTTTACACAATGACTTAGGGATATGCGCCGTTTCGGAGAATGTCAACTCCCCTATTCCTATGAATATGGTCTTCGAAAGACCACTTTGCCCTCCTGTCAATTAAAGCAAAGAAATCAAATTGATTACATAGCAGAATTACACACATAAGAAAAAAAAAACTGAATACGAGTAAAAGCATAAACGTACTTCCGGTGCATTTTTCCTTGACAATTTATAGTCGGCCATCGCTCTCGTTGGATTTTCAAAACAGTTACCTAACGCAAGCTAGAAAACACGATACACTCAAGACACGTAACTGACAGGATCGAATATGAGAAAATAATAACCAGATAAAGCCTAAAGGAGTCAACTAATGTGAGGCCTCTCGAACGACTCATATATATCGAATATGTATGTATACTTTTCAGTTTCAGTAGACGTGTAGAAAGAGCCTATTTTCTCTGCCATAGGCCTTAAAAAGGGCATAGATGGCGTTACCCCTGATCCTCTACTAGGCTATCTGCTATTGCAAAGCTGATGCTGACTAGCAATGCGGCAATTGACGCGTCTACATACCAACAGCAACCGTGCTCGCCGACACGAACAGAAGGGCCGATGTATCGATGAATTTCGTATTAAGGAAACTTGACACAAAGTATAAACGTGATCACAAAACGAAAACTTGAACAGATCGAAATAGTTGATGTACTTTTCAAGGACATCCATGGATCGTCCTTGTTCGTTCTGTTACAGAGGAAAAAATCCCAAGTCGAGTAAGTGTTAGAGAGGAACCGAGAGAATAAGTAATCGAAGGCGAACACACTGGCTAGCTTTCGGTTGTGATTTCGGTACGGCGTTTCATAATTAGGAATAGTATTGTACAAGCTCATCTTCCCTTCATTATACTGGTAGACAATATTCTTGTATTTAGATGAACGCATTCTCTAACATTCTCACTAAGAACGCGTTAGTATGATTGTTTTTCTTTTTCAAACGTAGGTGAGTTTTTTAGAAGAAGACTGGATCGTTTCAGATGAAATTACCTATGAGCATGGTTTGTACAGACTGTTGCAACTTTAGGGCGGCGCTTCAACCCTTCTTGAAGAACGCCAGTGGCAAGGACGTCGGGTTTTGATTAAGAACTATATGCCAGATCAGCTTAAACACTCTTTGTTTCAATTCTAACACCGTTTGTCAGAAGGTGAGTTTCGGAAACTCGATCGTACCATGGAAACTCGACATGCGCGTCCGTTGAGGAATTAATACCTGAAAGTTAGTGCATCCTATTGGGAAGAAGCATGATCTTAGACACTCGGACAGTAAAAAAAAAAAAAAAAAAAAAAAAAAAGCGTCTTATCATAGATATGCTGGAAACTGTTTAAACCTCAACTCTACCGTTGTCTTATTATAGAACGCATGTACAATATACCGTTGTTCCTGTCGTTTTGAATTTGAAGTTTTACCGTATCGATCGGCTTGTTATATTCGAACGTATATTCATACCCGTGCCAAAATGGAAGGCTACACTCGTGTTGATTATTCCACGTATTACCATTAACTTACCATGCGACCATTACTAGCTTTCGAGTTCGATTATCCTTCTTAGATATATAACTATACTGCTACATGAAAATAATGATACACTGAAGCTTAAACAATTCAATCTTGAAAGCTTGTTGAGTGCTACGATTTGCATTTATCTACAAATATATATATATATATATTAGTACGTCAAACGGTAGCCAATTCTAATAAAGGCAGTAATTTTTGTTGGTATTGACAGGTAGTTAGTTTCTGGAATATGTCTTTATCTCGAAAATAGGCTTTTCCATGGTAATAGCTAATAGCTTTAGCGGAAGTGGTGCATGTTAATTCTATGAGGGGCCAACTTTACTTTGTATCTTCATTCTAGACTTAGAAAACGTAGCATACGTTACACGCCGACGATCTCAAATGATACAGTCGATCGCATATAGCTATGGAGCTGTATACTTTACAAATGGGTCCAACCGTTTTTTGACGGAGAGACTATCCTCACAATTATATCAGTAGGAAACCTTGGAACTAAATTAAACCCACTTTAAGTGCTTCGTTACAAAAAAAACGCTATTCATTTTTATTTATTTATCATTAAAAAAACTTACACATCGATGTTTTTCTTTTAACAAAAATTACATGCTGTTATTACGTCTGATAACCTCATCGGTAACAAAACGACACATCGAAGTACAACTCAAGTCCACTCCGCAAGTGGCTCAAAAAAATTATACCGACGCTGAGGTAATAGCCCGTGTACTTTAGTAATTTCGAATAGTACATAAATGCTTATTTATCATCATATTCTAAACTTTAACCACGTTTCTAAATATTTGGATCTGTGTTTAAGCAATCGAATGAGCAAATTTACTATAATTTGTGTTGAAATGGCCGAAGTCGAGAAGATAAACAATAAGCTTAAGTGAAGGATATAGTGCGTACTAAAAAAATGAAATTAAAGATATTCATAAAATAAGTTACTGTACATTTACTCCTGGCACGAAGTAATTGCTCCTATTCCCCGCGATAAAAATGGTGACCCGATCTAAATTTTGTGATATAGGTTAGGAAAATCCATTGCAATTAATTTTTCTTTTATACATGAGCCTAATTTAAAACCCTGACTCGTCTCGTTCGCCCAGTCGGATTGAGTTATTAAAGATTAAATAATTTAATCGCCTCTTTTTTAAGCGAATGAGTCCTGTTGTTCTTATCGCTGCCCTTCGTTGTTTTCGACAATGTAATCCGGAAAGGCTTCTGGTGGGAAGTTTTATATAGACAATTTTCTCTCCTCTCCGTGTACAGACTAAAATGAAGATTTGCGTTTCTCATGGAATGCTATATATGCGCGCATGTGCGTACCTTGCATGAATTAGCTATATTTGAAATGCATAATTACCATAGTTACCAAGTTGCCAAGCTGCCAAGTTATCGAGGACGGCAGATTCTCATACTCAAGATGTGTTACCCCTTTGTACTTAATAGGTCTCACCCGTGCAGAAGCGACGCGGTCAAATGGACCTTCGCCCATGATTTTTTTACTAAATGCAACCATTCAAATTTCAATATATATCGTAACAACTTTTACCAAGAACACACATCTCGATTATTTTTAGCATTAGCATGATGGCGGTCAATTTAAGGTCAATACAGATTAAGGCCTTTCTCAAAGTAACCTCATTCGAAGCAATTAGAAACGAGAAAATTATCTGGTGGGAAACGGTTCTTCACTTGAATACATTTACGCTATTCTTTTAATCTGACCCTATACGGATACACGTAGCCGCCCTGTGAAGCCCATTTACCGGCTCTTATCTATCTTTATAAGCTAATCCCTATTGATTAGCCATACTGAACTATTTCAACTCTAGCTTACCGCACACTTCAACGTTCTCGTAGCTAAGATAATGAGCGTCTATTTTACCACAATGCGCGCATTGTGCCAAACGTTCGTCCGAATTAGCCAATCTAGCGCCTTAATTCATAGGGGGTAAATAGCGTACTCAAAATTGTAGTTATCGTCCTCCCTCGCCACCGAGCGTCGCTTTACTTCGAAACCAATTAATCCAGACGCCGCGACAAAACGACGGTAACATTTGCAAGGCCGGTCATTGAGGAGCCAAATACGCGAAAGTGGACATGGATAGCGTCGAGAAACTACGAACGGAAGCGTACTAGCGATAGGGAATCGCGGACAACGTCTACACCGTCACCGAAAGAGCGAAGCACTTGATGACCACTGAACGAAACCTACGTACGGTAGTCGTTGCCGTCACATGTTAGCACAGCATACGACGGCGTCGTCAGAATCGAGCGAAGGCCATCGCAAGCGATATGGAACGCGCCTATTGAAATTACTAAAATATCGTGTCGATTTAGAACCGAACCTGAATGGCACTCGCTACCAGTTCGCCAGAGCGAACGTGGCTCCTTCTGAGTTTCGTTGCCGATTCGTTCGGCTAGCTGTAAAACGAAATTTCAAATTACTATTTTGCGGTTTCTTGAATAACAATCCTATATGCGTACTCAGAATTTCGCTGACAAAGTCGCTGACTGCGCTGTAAATTGCTAGATCAGTATGTGATTAAACATACGTACAGCCGAACTTCAGTATCGTTTTCCTCACGCAAAAATTAAGCATTAAATAAGACAACCGGCTAAAAAAACTCACCGTAACCGTATCGTCAGTTAGAAGTAGCCGAAGCAACAGTCGTGCTGACCATAGAAATAAGCGCTACTTTTTTTGACTGCCGGCGCCAGCCACAGGGTCGACAAATCCCCGCCGTCTTGCTCTTTCCCTTTAGGAGACAACTTCAACATTCAACGTCAACGCGCGGCAATCGGCGCACAGATAGATACAGAGATAGCTGGGGCGCGAGAGAAAGCCCACCTAGACGACAGAACCAGGTGATTGGACGGATTCCCACGACCCCTCCTATTTGATATTGTGGCCAATAATATATCTGTATAGTGCTTTTTAATGCCGGTGCTGACGCTAATACTGAACTTGGCTAGAATGACGGCAAGTTACGCTCGCCACCACATCTCTGCCTGATACTTGTGGGTATCTGTTTGTTGCTGTAGCCCCTGAGCTTCGTATTCTGTTGCGTTTTATAAGAAAGTGAACATCAATCTCAGCAGGAGCTTGATCACCTCCTCGCACAGGTCCAGAGCAGCGTGTACAGCATGCCAAAAACCCCATGCACATACTGTCGCTGCTGATGGGTCAGTCCAATCGCGCACACAGCCGCTAGCAACAATACAAACAGCTGATTTGTTACCGAACCCCTTGTTGCTTAACAAGTAACAACAAAAATCAGCTAATGCCATTCTAATTCAATCGGTATAGAAAAAAAAAAAAAAAAAAAAAAAAAACTATACTAATTGAGAATACTGGCTTACCAATTGACAAGTTGGCATAAAAAGACCCTTGTTCACCGGGTTCTTTCCATATGATTCTATGCGTTTCTGTAGAAGCCAAGAACGACGACACCGCAGACATTACGCTTTGATTTGAAGCTTTTACCTGAATTTGTCAGTGCAAGGCAGTGTATCTGACACATGGTGCGCATGGAAGGAAAGATCAATCGAATGGCAAGAAAAACGCTCGGTTTCATCTAATTGAGACTGAAAAAAAAAGTAGTGTTTATGTGCCCAGTTCCTCAAGCGAATTCTTGTATTTGTATACCCAAGGCGGGGGCTGAAGTTAAAAAAGTCGTTAAGCGTTTTTTGCTCCTGCTCCAAAGTTGACCGGATTACAAAGGCAAAACCTGATGAGGAGATTGCAATTTTGGTAATGCGCGGGTTTGTTCGATACATGTTGCGTTTTTAGTAAAGCTTATTGGCGCGCAATTGTAGAGCAAAAAAAGGGGAACCATAGAAAAATGATCAGCGCGATGATATTGTAAGTGTTGACTGGTATCGTGGGGTTAGGTTCAACTTGTGGATATAGTTGCTAGAGTTTGCTAAGGAAAAAAGTTTGTGCTCAATCAAGTTAAACGCGTTCGTAGTGAAGATAGAGAAGAACTTGATGAAGTATCAAAGCAATCATTTCTAGGGAAACTAACGCAGTTCCAGTGTCAATGTGTAGTATTGGCTACGTATAGAATAGAACGGAATAACCAGGACGGTTGACATTGCAGGTAAGAGGTGAACGAAGGTGAATCTAATAAAGCATCAATATATCGTGTCATTACACTGAGCTGTCGAAGGACGGCATATTGAGCTAAACGTGTACGCGCACTCTAGACCATTATTATTATTATATCACTAGCATTATGAGTAGCACAGTTTTTGAAAATTTTCGCGAAAAATTCTAGGGGAAAATTTATACTAGCTCTTTTTTTGTAAGCGCTGCTTGAATCTGGTGAGGTTGCGCAGCTATCTCACGTTGAAGTCGATGTTCCAGTTATGTCTAATATTCGTAGTTGGTTTTTCAGTAAATCTTATCTGGACATTAATTATGTGGAAACGATTTCAAAATACAAGGACATAAACAGAGGTGACAGGAACGTGAGGGAGTTTTATAGCCAGAATCTCAAAAATTAGAAAATTCCGCTATTCGGTTTGCGTCACATCGAAACTGATGCGATTAGTATGTGTTCAGAGATAAAAGTTATAAAAGAATTATGCTTATCAAGTTAATCAACGCAATTTTTAACTTACCTCTATAAAAATCCATTAATTTTTCAAGTAAAACTAATATAGTTCTATACGATGCTATCAACAAGCATTAAAAAATATCATATAGCATCAAAAAAATAATAATTTTCGTCGTTCGTCTCTATATGTATAATTATGCATTATATTATATAATGATAATTTATATATGTAAATGCATTGTAGATAAAGTGAAATCCTTACATGTACCTAGTGTGCAAATAGAAGTGACCACTGGAATATGGTCAAAACATGTCGCAGCGACCATAATATAACCGCATCGTGACTAAATATAATATAATTTTCTTAAATTTAGTTGGGTCCCTTGTGGCGCTCACTCAGCCATCATTACGTTGCCACCTGTCCGATTAAACTTCAAACAATAAGGACCTAATCTGAGTTCTATGATAAAACGCACAAGTAGAAGCATCATAAAAACGTTTAACGTAATGAGCTCGTGTGACTTACTAAAGGCCCGCAGGAAGCAAGCGTTTTATTACCGAATACTGTCGATTAAGCTGGATTGATTGACGCGATTCGCGCAGAGACATACTTGCCTAATAAACCATTTATAGCGTCCTGCATCTGCTGCAGGCCTGCAGATGCTGAAATGGAAAAACATAGCAACGTCTCTACGATATATCGACTCCCGTTGTACTACAGAACTGATCAATTCCGTGTAGAAACGAGCGCCCACGAGGTATGATATCTGCCATAGGTGCGGTGTGAATGTACCGAGCTCAAACAGGACCGAATGAAGGAATGCACGTTTGAAGTAGGTTATACAAAATCTAAAGCGCCAATTTTGTCCTGGACGCCATAGAGTACTCTTTATGATTTCACGGTGTAAGTGGACTCTCCAGTTGCCGCAGTTGGAAACACTATCATGATACAAACTCATGCTATTACCATGTCTAAGTTACGGGTTCCTTTGAAATTATCATCTTCGTTATTCTTTGATCATTGTTCATTCGAATATAATGTTGTTGTTATTTTAATGTCTTAAAGGGCCGGCAGGGAAGTCATAGATTCATGTCGTTCAGTTTTTCATTTGGGGATTTGGAGATACGCTAGGAAGTGTATGTGTGTATATATACATATACTGGCGCATCGCTTCTGGCAACCAAAGCATTACAGGCGTTATACTATCTAGCCTCTTAATAAAAGATATGCTTGTATTTTGTAATACAAAAATATCAATGTGTGATATTCATTGTACAATTTTAGATTAGACAACGGCGTCATTTAGGACGTATGCAAACAGGTAACTTAAACGTAACAATGTCTTGAGGGGTGTTGAGGAGCTAATTTGAATGAGAAATGTTACTTCTTAAACTTCAACTTAAGGTCAACTTCGAATCACTATTAATCGCTGTTTTTAGGTGTGGAACCTTGAGACAATAACACCGCCTGTTACTTTCGGGTAGGCTCTTTTGAATGATTCGACAGTAATGCGTCTTATATTATACAATATTGTGAAGCAATACTGTATATAACCGTCACAAATCAAAATCAGTATTCCTTAAGGTCATAATATAGCTTAATTAAATTTCCCAAATTAATTGCTTTATAATCGTTATGCTATTTCCCTCCTTTTACTGTCAAGCTAATTATTTTACCGTCAAGGTAAACAACAAACAGCCTATGAGTCTTTCTCCGCCACTTTTTTTATTACCTAAACGCAGTTGCGATTCGGGATGTCACCATCAGGAAAATTGTCATTTATGTCAATCATTAACCGAAACCCAAACTTGTTGTCGTTATTTGGTATAGCGATGACTGACTCCGGTGGCCTCGTGAAGTTGACCTTCTTATTCCTCGTAGTCTTTTTTTTAGCAAAAGTGACAAACAACGAATCCTCTTAGCGAGCTCTTATTACTAAGGGCAACCGGAACGCATTGGGCTTGTCGCATTTTCTGACATGACTGATCATGCCCCAGTGCTACTGCGCACCGATCAATTACCAACATCATAACGGCGCGGCCAGCATTGGCTACGATTACGATGAAAGCTTCAACATCGCCACTCGGCCAACGAAACGAAACACTAAGTTACTTTCGTACGAAACACGAAACGCTGCACGAAAACGTGGTAGGTGGTTTTCTCCCAGCGATGTTACCATTGTTATTATTATCTGTGGTAACGTTTACTACTGCCGGTCCGTGTGACTTGGACTAAACTGATGGTATGGTAGGGGTAGTTGGCACGGCAGGACACTAAGCAAATCCGCCACCATGCCACGACGAATGACAGACAAGGGCAGCTGATCAGGCCATAGAGCCTTGAACGACGACGACGACGACGACGACAACGATCACCATGATGGCGATTTTCAAAACGAAAAATCGCTCTTGCGGCTCGTCACAAAAAGACCATTGCCATTACTTGTAACAGCTGCAGCTGCTGCTATGACTATCGACGTCTCTAAAGCCGCTGGAAGGAAAAGCGTAAGCAGAAAAGATATCAAGGTCGAATGCAAATTCGTATTGTACAATAGTTCGTTCGCTTCGCGCATCTCGTTGGTGTGGTATAGAAGTGAATGGCTTTCCGTTACGTCAGATCGCCGTTATGTTAGACGCCAATAAAATAAGCGCAACAACAACAACAACTGCAAAAACAACAATATTATCAATACTAGGTCCGTATTATTGGGTACACTGGTGGGCATGGTTTACACTTGTATTATGAAAGCAACGTTTTTTTTTTGTCTTCAGCAGCACGAGAACGACTGGTTTGGTGTCGCTGCTGTAGCTATATTGTTGTTTGTGTTTAAAATGTGGGTCAAAACGACAGCGATAGCGCCAATATCGGCAGTAATAGTAACAATGATAATGGTGGCGGATAAAGTGAGCCACCATAGTAATAACAACGAACTTTTAGGCGGTAGTAATAACAGGACATGAAAAAATCTTAGCATTATCATGTAGTTATATAACAGAAATGTAGGAGGCAATTGAAGATCACCTTTTTGATACTATAACTACAAAAAGAGATAATAACAGCGGCTGGTAATGTGGGTGAGCAGCAGGGAAAAAGAAACTACGGCGATAAGATTAATACGAATTTACGGTGATAATAGCCACATCGCATTACATAAGACAAGACTAGCTGTAAATTTCTATATGTATATATATATATATATATATATATATATATATATATATATATATATATATATATATGGCTATAACAATGGTAGCGCACGGATAAGGAAAATACGTGAAAATACCATTTAGTCCATAATTATAGAAAGCAAGACAGTATCATTAATGATGAATCTCTTTCAAATCGAAAAAACTCCCCGTGGATCAGGTACAGGATAAGAGTCAAGGATGAATTATTTAATCAACTTTAGAAAAAAATATGAACTTCATGGTTCAAAAGGTTGTGATAAACACCATTTTGTACCACCAGGAACCCCCCTGAATAGTGCTAACAATCTGAAGACTTACCGTACAATGTCCTGACGCATTATTCTACATTGACACTAGATATCTCGGTCACTCTTTTTCAACATTTTACTTTCCATTAATAGAGTAAGCGAACTGTTTCCCTGCTAAAAGAAACCGTACAATTTTCTAGAATATTAGGTTTTTTCGTTTTAGTATTTTACAGATGCTAGAATGCATAAATACTGGTAAATTCTTCCATATGCTAAAAGTAATTTTGAAATACCGCATTGATTTCAACAACGGGACCATTTTATATGAGAACGACTTTTATTGGGCGGTAAAACGAGGCCAAGCGATCGACCAGGGGCAACACAGAAAGCGCTACACATATTAACTCCCTCTGTTTACTATTGAGCCTCTCAGCGTATTACAATTCGTTTACTGGATCTATACGGTGATAACCTAATTTAATCATGACGTTTATCGATTCCCTGCTTATTAATTACCTATTTTATGGTCAATACGCTACAAGCGTCATGTCCAGTGTTATTTTCCACTAGGCGTTTCTATGCTTTGTGCTAAATAATAAAACAGATATTTCCCGTCGGGTCAATTCCGTTGGGCTAACACTTGTTGCTTCTCAATGTATCTTCATTTTTTAATGCAAACACATAATAATATAACAATCGGTACGTATTTAATCAAACCTTATGCATGTTCATGTTACCTGGAAACGTACCTAGGTTACACACAAGCCTAGGCGCGTCATTTTGTTAGAGTTGGCTTTCTCTTTAAGCAAAAGTTTTCAAGGTTGATCGAAATGCTCGCAATGAATGCCGCGTCATAGGACGTACGAGCGGAAAAAGTCTGGGATCACAATAGAGGTCCCGAGTGTCTCGTCTCCCATGGGGAGGCTACGAAGGAAAGTTTTTGTCTTTGGTGGATAAACCCCCACAGTACCGCAGAATAAGTACTGAAATCCAAGTGCCCATAGCGGGAAAGAAGCGACTGCGACGGGGCAGCTGCCGCTCTATATCCAAATCGTGATTTTCTTCACACCGACTGTGTTAAATCAACTCCGTGGAAAGCCT